TTTATAGTTTTGTCTTTTCCTGTTATATCTATCTGGTGTATATACAAGAGTAGTTCAAAATGTTCATGGAAAAATAAAATAAAAATATAACTTTATTTCAGTGCAAAAATTTGAAGTCCACATATAGTTTATTTTAAAGATTTATTTTATTTTTTTTTCTTGAAAGGCAGAGTTTCAGAGAGGCAGAGGCAGAGAGAGGTCTTCCATCTGCTGGTTCACTTCCCAAAAGGCCTCAATGGCCAGAGCTGTGCTGATTCGAAGCCAGGAGCCAGGATCTTCTTCCGGGTCTCCCACATGGTTGCACAGGCCCAAGGACTTGGGCCATCTTCTACTGCTTTCCTAGGCCATAGCAGAGAGCTTGATCTGAAGTGTAGCAGCTGGGACTCGAACCGGTGCCCATATGGGATGCCGCCACTGCAGGCAGCGGCTTTACCTGCTATGCCATAGTGCTGACTCCATATACAGTTTTTATAGTATTCATTTCCATGAAATTTTTGAAGATTCCTTATATGCATGGATTTTAAAATTTTTATACCATAATAAAACTTTCCTTTAATTTCATTTTCCATGAACTCTTTTAAGTACAGCCATAAATGAAAAATATAATATCTAATCTTTTAGATTGCTATTTTTACTAAGCATAATTCTCTGGAGATTCACCTGGATTATTGTCCATATCAATGATTGTCATATCTTTTTTCTGAGTACTACGTCATGGTATGAATAAGGCACATTTTTTAATGCTTCACTGTTGAAAGAAATTTATGTTGTGCCCACATAGTCACACTTACAAATAAAAATACTATAGGTACAGTTCTCATATCTCTGTTGTAGATATCTAGAAGTAGGATTTCTGGATCATACAGTAAGGATATGTTTGACTCTTATAAGAAACTGTCAAACTGTTTTATATAATGTCTATACCATTTTACATTCCCTCTAGAAATGTTTGAGTGACCTGGCTATGTATTATCACCAGTATTTGTTACCAATTTTTTTATTTTAGTCATTTTTAAAATATTTGTTTATCTATCTGAAAGGCACAGTTAGAGAGAAAGAGAGGTCAGAGAGAGATCTGCTGTCTATTGGCTCACTCCAAAAATCCCTTAATGGCTGGAGCTGGGCCAGGCCAAAGCCAGGACCAGGAGCTTTTTCCATGTCTCTCACATGGGCGCACAGGTCCAAGTACTTGGGCCATCTTCTGTGCTTTCCTAAGCACATTAGCAGGGAGTTGGATCAGAAGTGGAGCAGCTGGGACTTGAACCAGCACCTGTATGGGATGCCAGCACTGTAGGTGGTGGCTTAACCCACTATCCCATAGTGTCAGTCCCTATTTTAGCAATTCTTGTAAGTATGTTATGGTATCTAATTGTGATTTTGATTTGCATTTCCCAATGTCTGATGTTGATGAATATTTTTAATATGCTTATTTGTCATTCTTATATAATCTTCAGTGAAGTGTGTGTTCCAACTTTTTGCCTATTTTTAACTTGGATGTTTGTTTTTGAATTGTTAAGTTTTGAGAAGATAAAGAACATAATGAGTATCCTGAGCACACAAGTGATGGACTGACTATAGTCAGTGAAGCACCCTCTGAGGAATTTATATAGGATGATATGTGAATGTTGCATAGGAGTCAGCCATCTTAAAACAATTATAGAATGACTTGAACCATAAGTGCAAATAATTTGAGATAGAAATGATCCCAGTGTGTTTGAGGAACAAAAAAATGATGTGGCTTCACCATACTGAGAGAGATGGACAATAGTAGGAAATGAGCTTTGTCAGATAAACAAGGATCATTGAGATCATATACAGTCTTGCAAGCCACGGTAGGGAATTTTTGCCTAATTTTAATTGCACTGAGAAGGTGTTATAGGGATATGAGATAGTTTACTTTATAGTTTGTAAAGATCACATTTGTTGCTATGAGGAGGGGTGTTATCGGAGGCACATGATAAGTGGCTATTGTAGTTGTCCATATGACAGAAGATAATGGCATACACTAGAGTGGTAACAGTAAAGATGGATAGAAATAGTTAGATATTGGATATATTTTAAGGTAGATACCTCAGAAGTTGTTTATGGTTGTATAATATGAATGAATGAGAAGAATCAAAAATAACTCCCGAGTTTTTAGCTGGAACATCACTTACTGAGATTGAAAAGGCTATGGGAGGAGTAAGTTTGGGGGAGACATCAAAGATCTGTTTGGATATGTTGAATTTGGAATGAAAATTAGACAAGTAGAGGTGTCAAGTAGGCAGACGCATAAAGGAGTCTGGAGTTCAATGGAGAAGTTGGAGGGAAGTAAAGATAAAGAGAACAACATAATCAAAAGCATAGAACCGTGAAAGTATGGAGTAGGCCCGGAGGTGAGCAAATAATTCAGTGTGACTAGTGTGTATTTTGCAGAAGCAGAAAGAGTAAGAGACCTGGCTGAAAAAAAAAAAAAAAAAAAAAGGCCAGGACTGAGTTGTTAAGGGAGGAGCTTAGGTGTTTTGGTGAAGTGTTTGGAGTTTATTCTTTGATAATCAAGGAGCTATTGAAATTTTTGAACAAAGAAATTAAATGAACAAGGAGAGGTTTTGGAAAATTAATATGGCATAACTGAAATAATTTTATTTATTTTTTTATTTATTTGACAGATAGAGTTAGATAGAGAGAGAGAGACAGAGAGAAAGGTCTTCCTTCCATTGGTTCACCCCACAAATGGCTGCTATGGCCGGCGCACTGCGCTGATCCGAAGCCAGAAGCCAGGTGCTTCCTCCTGGTCTCCCATGCGGGTGCAGGGGCACAAACACTTGGGCCATCCTCCACTGCCTTCCCGGGCTACAGCAGAGAGCTGGACTGGAAGAGGAGCAACCGGGACTAGAACCGGCAACCATATGGGATGCTGACGCCGCAGGCAGAGGATTAACCAAGTGAGCCATGGCGCCGGCCCCAACCATTTTTTAAAATGCAAATAGAACTTACACTTATCAACTTCTAAACTTATTACAAAGCACAATAATCTTTGGTACTGGCATGAGAATAGACATATAGGGAATAAAATTTGAGAGTTCAGAAATTTTCACATTTATGTTCAATTGAATTTCAACAAATTTGCCAAGACCAGTTAATGGAAAAAGAATAGTACTTTCAACAAATGCTATTGAGTCAATAAAAATCTAAGTCAACACTGCAGTGAGATAACACTTCTAACCTACTAGGACAGCTAAACTAAAATCTGAAAAAAAAAAAAGACAATAATCTGTTTTCACAAGTATGTTGAGAAATTAAAATACTTTTATGTTGCTGATGGCAATGCAAAATGCCCCAGCTGCTTTGAAAAGTACTTTGGAAATTCTTCAAATTGTTAAACACCAATTTACCACATAATCCAGTAATTTCACTCCTAAACATATACCCAAGACAAATTAAAACATATGTTTACAAAAACTTATATATATAAATGCTGATAGCTGCATTATTTATAGTAGCCCCAAAGTGGAAATTACCCAAATATCCATCAGCTTATGAGTGGATGAATCAATTCCGGTATGTCCATACAATGTAATATTGCCTGGTAATAAAAGCAATTAAGTGCTGACATATGCTTAATCATGGATGGACAATGAAAATATTCTGCTTAATTAAAGAACCCAGTCGAGGAAGGCAATATGTGAAATATTCAGAAAGGGCAAATACATAGAAGCAGAAAGTAAATTGATGATTGCCTTGGTGTAGGGTGGGTATATCAGAGGGTAACAGAAGTACAGTGTGTGTATGTGTGTGTATGCATGTTTTGGTAGAAATTAGATGTTTAAAGTGGATTGTGACTATGGTTACAACATTTTGTCAATATACTGAAAAACATTGAATTGTGTACTTTAGATGAATGAATTATGTGGTACGTCAATTATATCTCAATAAAACTGTCATTAACAAAAATTAAAGGCAGTCATTTGGGGCAATGGTTAAGACATTGCTTGGGACACATGCATTCCATATCAGAGTGCCTGTGTTTGAATCTGCGTTTGAATTTTAGGCTCTTGGTTTTAGACTGGTTCAGTGCTCACTGCTGCAAGCATTTGTGGAATAAATTAGCAGATGCATGATCTCTCTTTCTCTGTCATTTGAGTTAAAGAAACAAACAAATGAGCAGTTTAAAAGGGGATTAACATGGCATTATTTGGAAAACGGATCGGGGAGAGCAAGTCTGGATGCAGAAAAACATGTTTGGAGGTTTTTAATAGTCAAGTTGAGACAGCAGTGCTTTAAAATAAAGGAGCAGTAATTGAAATAGGAAGAAGGAGAGATTAAAATATACTTTAGGGGTAAAATAGTAAGATTTGCCTTTTAATTGGCTATTGGATGCATGAAGGTGAGGAGACAGAAGACTAAAGTTATGAGTCTGTGTAACTAGGAAAATGATTATGTTATTTCTAAACACTGAGACTGAGACGTAGGGTTGTTTTGCAAAGGAGGAAGTTGTGTTTAGAATGGTTTTTGTATTTAAGATGTTATCGCGACAATCTTCAAAAGATGCCTAACATCAAACTGAAAGTTTGGTGTTGGAGCTTAATAACAAGGAACTCATAATTTGTATCATAAAGGTGACTAATTGCTTCCACTGAGGGATTATGGAAAGAGAGCAGAAGAGAGCTGGATACAGAACCTTGTGGAAACAGCTACATTTAGGAAGTTGCAGCAGAAAAAGTTGACCAAAACAGAGACGAAAAGGAGGCTATTGCTAGTATAGAGACAAATGAGGAGGCTGCTTTACCTGAATACTGGACTTGGGCCTGTAAGGATAGGGACAGTAGAAGAGGAAGGATTAAAGGTGTTCCAAGAACTAGAAGAACAAAGTTAAAAATAAAATGCAGACTGGTATGGGAGTGATGGAGAAAGATCTTAAAGGTGCTAGGAGTCACCCACCACAACCTCTTGGGGGGACCAGGGAGTTGAGAGAAATTTCTTACCCAGGCCTGCTGCAGATCCCTTGTTACCCTTTCTAGGTGAAGTGCTCACTTACCAATGGAGCATTCCTGAGAGGTCTGGCCCTGGTCCCAATGACTCTGCCTGTGTTTCCTGGATCTATTATTCTGCAGTGGATCCCATAAAGGTAAAGACAAGATTGGCTGGTTGGAGGTGGGTCTCAGAAGAGTGCTGACTACTTGGCAAAAAGAAGTTGATTAACGGCTGTAGTAAGAAGCCCATCCCTGAGATATTAGCTTTTAAAATTAGGATTTAAAATTTTCTCTAATACTGGATTTATCATAGTAGATAGAGGGAGAGGTGAAAGGAGTGGGTAGCACCAGATATTTATCTTGAGGATTTTCTTACTTGTATCTTCTTTTTCAGTCCTATAAGGGATATATTGTCATTTAAAAAACTTAGAGTTAGTGGTCAGGAGATTGGGGTTCTAGGTTCAAATCTGGTTCTAGTGTGCCTTTAGAGTAACTTCAGGCAAGTATTTATGCTTTTGTTTTCTCATCTGGAAAAAGTGTTTATCTGTCTAGCCACTAGCTACCAGCAATCATTTATTGAGTACCTACCACACTTGGAGCATTTTATTTTGTGCTTTGGATGATACAAATGTGAAATACATTTCCCATCTTCACAGAGCATGGTCTAACTGAGCAAGAGGGAAGTTGGAGTGGGAATCACAATAGAAGGTACTTTGTGCCTTGAAAACTGAGTAACGGTCTGCCATGGGATAAAAGATATGTTCGAGTGGAGAGGCAAAAAAAAAGGCACTGGTTTGTGAAAGTACTTGATGGTTTGGAGATTCAGCCTAGCTAAAGCATAGCTTAGATAACTCTTCTTACCCATGCCCCAAAAGTATTGTGAAAAGGAATTCAAGTAACATAGTGGGGTTCTTACAAATGGAAGATATGCTGATGATGTGCTGACATCACAGTGAGTTCATATATGAGCCTTGGTTCTTGGAGAGCACGATTACCCTAAAATAACTCCACCTATTCTCTCTCTCTATCTCCTTTTTCTCCCTTCTTCAGGACATGTACAGTGGCCTTGTGGGGCCTCTGGCCATCTGCAGAAAAGGCATCCTGGAACCCCATGGAAGACGAAGTGACATGGACCGGGAATTTGCCTTGTTATTTTTGATCTTTGATGAGAACCAGTCTTGGTATCTGGAGGAGAATGTGGCAATCCATGGGCCCCAGGAGCCAGATCGTGTTAACCTACAGGATGAGACTTTCTTGGAGAGCAATAAAATGCATGGTATGCATGAAAGAACTTACCCTTATTCCGAGGAATTCCCCATTTGTGGAATGAAGGTATCTGATAGGCCCATTACCATCCAAGGGAGCATAATTCCAGAAAGGATGGGAAGGTGGAATGGGGATGAATTGAAAGAAATGTACAGATTACTGTACATTAATGCATACAAAGTAGATAAGTTTTTACAGAGTAGATCAGGTGCACAGAAAGCAGGAATCTCACTCTAAAATTGCCATGGAGACACCAGAAAAATTTGAACATATTAGAATAGATGGTAGTCATTTATGACCTTCAACATATTTCATAAACTGACTTCTTAGGGCCACTCTCTCAAAATTCTGAGTTTAGTCTCTCAATATCATCTTATTTCTCTAACATTCTGAATTTGGGATCTGCTTTCTCAATGGATAAGATGAAGGAAAGCTTGCCATTTAGTATGTTTTTAAAACAGAGTTTCAATTTATAGGTGGAATAATTGGAGAATACAGCCTCAGAGAGTAGCACACTGTGTTTATGTTTGATACGGGGGAGGACTTTTTTTGTACTTGAATGGATTTTGGAGGGAAAGTGTGCATCAAAGCCTTCCTTTGCTCTAGAGATCTGTGTAGCTTTTCAAAAACAAGAGAATGTCTCAAATAAGAGGGAGAGCTTAAGTGCAGTGGAATGTATGAAGTGATCTCTCATCATCCCTTCCAGTTCAAGATTTCTTTGATCTGAGAATGAGGCACAGCTTTGATAATAACTCTAATGGAACTCAAAAGTAGTACCTTATTGTCCATAGATTTTAGCTATTTCCCCTTGATGGAGAGATGAGTGATTCACATTAGAACAGATGATTCACAAACTTCACAAGGTGAACTTTTTAGCTTCTGTCAAATCAGAGAAATAAATGACTCAGGACAAAAAGGGAATGAGGGCACAGTCAGATATTGCTAATGCAGGGTTTTGGCTGATGCCCACTTTCCATTGTTTGTATATATGTTCATTCATTGAAACTCTTCAATTATCAGCACATCTGCCTATCCATCTTACAAGTATTTGTTGAGCACTTTCTGAGTGCTGGCTCTGGAGATATTCTGATAAAGAATGTTGGGGTATTATGGGTCATATAGATAATATTACTGTCTTCTCTTCCAGATTCCTGAACCAACTGGAAAAGAAAGATACTTAAGATCAAATATGAGCTTTATTCCTGAGAGAGCTAATTGGAAAATTAATTTTATTTCTGCAAGTAATTGGGCTTGTTGATAGTCCCCTTGCAATAGACATATTTTCCTCCCTTTTCATTGATATAGGTGGAAAATAGTAGCTCTCTCTGTTGGCATGTACAGAATCTTTCCCACAATGAAATAGTGTATCAGTTTGTACCCATTTCTATGATCAGACTGATCAGAGAGAAAGAAGATCCAGAAGGGGCTAGTTCATCATATTTAGCTTTTTCTTTTGAGTTCACAAATTACTAAAAGTGGATGCAGAGACTATAAATTTTCCTTCCGTGTTTACCCTCTTGGATAATGAAGTGGAAATCACCTTCCCTCTGTGAGAACATGAGAAGTGGAGGGAAACTGCTGTGGACAAAGTCCTGTTAGTGTGAATTTATATGTCAATGAGTGGTTCGATGTCTTGAGAATATGTGATATGTACCCTGGGAAGAACAGATAATGAGGCCCATGCATTATTACCATTACTAATTTCACAAATATGGCAGGTCTTTTCTAAACATTTATTCATAGGCTCAGGTGTTGGTTGGATGTTATAAAAAATTTACAAGGATGCTATAGTCCTGTAGCGAATACATTCATTTTCTGCTTGGTAGCAATGTATTCTCCAGTTGTGGATGTGAGCTTTCACATATTAAAATAAGGTAAATGTAGGAGTGAGTTTCTACTGAGTTCCAATGGATTACAAGACAGGACTTGAGTAATTCAGAGGTGGAATGGGGCTCAAGGACTGAGGAATATGAACAGGAGCTAGAAGATCAGAGAAGTTTTATTTGGGAAGGTAAAGGTTTGACTAGGATCTGGAAAGATGTGCAAAAGGAGGCAGTGTTTATGGAAGTGAAGCCTGGAAACAGAAGGACCTAAAGAACATTCATAGGCCATATGAAGGATGGTGAAGTAATTACCCTCTTTGGAATAAACATGTTTTGTAGCAGGAGATGAACCTGGTGAAGTGATTTGGGATATATTTTGAAAGACTTTGTGGGCTGAGTTAAGGAGTCATGGACTTGCTCTTTGCAGCAGGAGGGAGGTATTAAAATATTTTTAGGGAGCAGAGTGACATGGTCAAGTAAGTTATTTAGAGCAATCAATCTAATAACATCAGTGTGAAAAAAATAGATTGAAGGAGAACAGATGAAATAGAGATGAGACCAATTTGGGATCCTATTGCTATCATCTAAGATAATAGGGACTAGAATTAAGGCAACACAATGAGGAGTCAAAAGGAGAGGTGTAAGAGACTTTTTTTCTTGTTTTACAGCCATCAATGGGAAGCTCTATGCCAACCTCAGAGGTCTCACCATGTACCAGGGAGAGCAAGTGGCATGGTACATGCTAGCCATGGGCCAAGATATTGACATACACACTGTGCACTTCCATGCTGAGAGTTTCCTTTATCAGGTGAGCTCAGAAGAGTGCTGTATCCCTCAGGGAAGATTGGAAGAGTGCCTTCACCTCCACTGAGGAAGAGGGGAAATAGCAAGGAACAAGATAATAGTGAAAAGAAAGAGGTCTATTATATGGAGCACTGGACTGAGAATTCTAGTCTGGTTGGAAATTCCTGGATCAGTCACTTCTGATATGGAAAACAATCACTCACTTATGAGTTAAGGAGATAAAAGGAATCAATATCATCAGGTTTTACTCAAAGAATTGAGATTCAATGAGCAGTGATCTTAAGAGCAAGGAATTTCAGACTGGTGTCTGAGAATTGCTGAAATTCTTTAATTCATATAAGAAGAGCTTCAATTTAAGAGCTACATGGAGGGGCTGGCACTGTGGCATATTAAGCTAAGCCTTCACCTGCAGTGTTGGCATCCCATATGGGTGCTGGTTCGTGTCCTGGCTGCTGCTTTCCCAATCCAGCTCTCTGCTATGGCCTGGGAAAGCAGTGGAAGATGGCCCAAGTGTTTGGGCCCCTGAACCCATATGGGAGACCTGGAAGAAACTCCTGTCTCCTGGCTTCAGATTGGCTCACATCCAGCCGTTGGGACCAATTGGGGAGTGAACTAGCAGATGGAAGACCTTTCTCTCTGTCTCTCCTTTTCTTTGTCTATAACTCTACCTTTCAAATGAATAAATAAAATATTTTTTAAAGATGTATGGATTTTGAAGGATATTTAAGCTTAAGAAAAGAGTACCAAGCTATGAGATATGGATACAGTCCCAGAGATCTAGAATTACTTATCAAAGTGTTGACAAAGGCAAAGGAATTAAGTTCAATAATTTTTTAAACAAAGTATGTGGCTCCTTCCTATGGGTCAAAGCTTAATCCAAATTCCCCAGACTTAGTCTGCTGAAAAGAATGGAGATTCTAGTTTTGAGCCCTCTAAAGGAATTGGAAATTAACCTTACTTTGGGACACTTTATGAAAAGTAGGAGGAGAGAGTCCCTTCTGTTGACTTAGTTTGTGTGGTTGGGTTGATAGAAAGATGAATGAAGTGAAAATTTAAAACTTCTCTCTGGTTTAGGGATCTTGGAGTCCCACTCCCCTAATGAAGACATCATATATCTCTAGTTTCTACAAGTTCTAAGATGAGGTTTATTTCTCCTACCCACAATCTTTATTGTAGAATGGAAAGAGCTACCGGGCAGATGTGGTGGATCTGTTCCCAGGCACCTTTGAAGTTGTGGAGATGATAGCCAGCAACCCTGGGACATGGCTGCTACACTGCCATGTGACTGACCATGTCCATGCTGGCATGGAAACACTCTTCACTGTCTTGTCACAAAAAGGTAAGACCTAATTCCCCAAGATAGGTCATCTTCTGACACCTTATCTGGCCTATAAGAACTAGATAACACAAAGAAACCTCTTGTACCTCTCGTCTTTATACCAGAAGAACTAGATCTTAAGACTGAGTATGACACCCCTCTAGGCACTCCCCTTACCAATATTGCTCATCCTCCTTTGCTTCCTTAAAACCTGCACCTCTCCTAATTATCTGAATACATGCAGAGGTAAAATCAGTTGGCCCAGTCTGATTGGGCTCCATGTATCAATGCCTTGTATAGGTTTGTATACTTTGAAATAAATTAAATTTATATAAAATTTTATTATTTAAAAAGTAATTAGAAGAAAGGGCTATTTCAAGGCATAGTGTTATAAGTTCTTTTTAAAGAGAAGAAAAGTAATTCTAACTGTTGTACCTTAATTGTTTTGTTTTGTGAGACTTTGGAAAGGCAGTTCTTTTTGTTCTAGGAATAAACTCTAAGGCTAGAAATATTGACCTTCAATTGCAGCTTATGCAAGACAGTGTTGCTACCAAGGGTGGGAAAAACTTTTTCCTTAATTTTTTTATGTGGGAAGCGAATATCATGGGGATATTTTAAACTAGTAATTCTTTGTTTTTCACTAAGAATGTAGACGGGTATATTGTGTTGACTTTTGTTTCTTTTGATCATTAAAGGGTTAAGTATTTTACTTCTTTACCCTCTTAACCTGAGTCCAGCACCTAGCATTATTGCCTTCCAAGAAGTCCTATAGAGCTGCTGCTTTGGGCCCTGAAGAACACATAGGCGAAAAAAATGTGATTTTTTTAGCAGTGATATAAAGTATGGGCAAGAGTGTAGACTTAGGAAAATATATTTGGCTATTCAGATTTAGCAAACCACGGTAGAGAATAAAACCCTGCTCTTTATCCCTGGAGAGAGATAAATGATTATACATTATGAGTTTACTAAAAAGGTTTGTCCTAGTGCAAATTTTCAATCTTTGAAATAAATCAAATTTCTGTAAAATTTGTTGTTTAGAACTCCCACCAACCAATGCTGACTTCCCACAGAGAGGCTGTGGATTGGTAGGAAGAATAAGAGAATTAATCTCTGCCTTCTTTCCCTAGAACACTTAAGCACTGTCAGTACCATCATGGAAGAGACTGAAAAAGGTAGGTAAAATGGTAAAATGATGCACAGACTGGAGGGGTAGGTATATGTGAAGAGTGTGTGTGTGTGTGTGTGTGTGTGCCTCCAGAAGATGGGACACACATGACTTAAAGATGGGTACTCTAAAATTTCTATATGACTTCAGAAACTAGAGTACCAACATTCTGCTTTCCTCAGCAGGCCTATTCTCTCTGGCTCCCTTCACTAACCTCATAAGTTGGAGAAAACAGTCTCATCTCCAGTTGGAAGCTGCCGTCTTAGCCACCCACCTAATGTGTGAGGGGGAAGAAAATTTTACGACCTGCTGGTTTGAGCATGAAAGTTGTAGCACAGGCATGGATTCCCCACAGGGATAGTTTGAGACTAGAACAAACACCAGACGGTCTTCAAATGCTATTTTTATTCTTGACTCTTTTTCTCTTCATCTATGGAATACCAAGCAGTTGAACCTTTAGAACCAGTCGTTTCTTACCTTCAAGATTCTAGGTTCAAACAGTGCTTTTATTCTCCACCTCATATGTCTCTGACTAGGAAAGATTCAGAATGTTATAAGAGCTAAAAGGGATGTTAGAGATGAACAGTTTACTCTTGAAAATTTCATCTGTGTTCGGAGAAATCCTAATTATCTGTCTATATATCTGATGAACTGTGAATTAGGGAACTAGGGTATGTCCTGGAGCAGGTGGAGAGAGGTAAGCTGAAGTTGTGTGAGTGAGGCTTCAGACCACATTTCCTTCAATTTTATCAGCTCAATTATATATATATATATGTGTGTGTGTGTGTGTGTGTATGTTTACCTATGTATCTATATGTGTATTTATATAATCATGCACACATATGTTTGAGTACACATACATATTTTGTGTGTGTATTTGTATATGCATAACACATATTTTGGTTTTTTTTTTTTTTACTAACAAAGTATTTTTTATTCATTAGAGGAGTCTCAGTTGGATATCTTCTTGACAACATTTTGTGGGTACTTAATTGGTGTTACTATTTTTGTGTTAAAATCTTTAAAACATGTTTTGTAATACATGACAATAATGCAGACCAGTTTGTATCCCAGTGAAATCTATTAAGAATATTTTGCTTTGTGTATACCTAAAGTGAATGATTATACAACAAAAGTATGTGACTTCTATTCTGTTGTTAGAGAAAAAAGACATAAACATGCTATTTCCTGAAACAAGGCCTGGACTCTCCTACTGTGTTTTTAGAAAGCAATTAATTGGAATGGGCACTGTGGTTCAGTGGTTAAACCACTGCTTGGGATGTCCACAGCCTATATTGGAGTACTGGATTAGGCCCTGCTACTTTGCCTCCCATCCAGCTTCTTGCTAACATACCTAAGATTCAATAGATGATGACCCAAGTGCCTGGGTACTTGTGGCACATGTGCAAAGCTAGATTTGGTCTGACCCATCCCTGGTTGTTGAGAGCATTTGGAGAGTGAAGTAGCAGATGGAAAAATCTCTCTCTGTCTCCTCCTTTCTCCATAACTCTGCCATTCAGATGAATAAATAAATATTTTTAAAAAATAAGGAAGTTCATTTTTTACAGTATTTCCTTTTTCTCTTTTGACTGTTAGAAAATAAGTATTTGTTGGGGCTGGCGCTGTGGTGTAGCCAGTAAAGCCACCACCTGCTACATTGGCATCCAATATGGGCACAGGGTCGAGTTCCAGCTGCTCCACTTCTGATCCAGCTCTGTGATAATTTGCCTGGGAAAGCAATAGAGGATGGCCCAAGTGATTGGCCCCTGCCACCAACGTGAGAGACCTGGAAGAAGCTCCAGGCTCCCTGCCACAGACTGGCTCAGCTCTGGCTGCCGCGGCCACCCGGGGAGTGAACAAGTAGATAGAAGATCTCTCTCTCTCTCTCTTTCTATCTCTCCCTCCTTTTCTCTCTGTAGCTCTACTTTACAAATACATAAAATACATATAACAGAAAAAGCTTGAAAAATTATGAAGTATTCTTTTAAAACTAAGAAAGCTAAAGAAATGTAACAGCTAATGATAACTTTTAAACTTCCCCAAAGCCATTAAACTAAACCTTAGTATAGATTCTTATTCAATATTTTAAAATGAGAAACTATTATATCATTTTAACTTTAGAAAATTTGTCTTCTACACTTCAGTTAATTTTTCTAATATGCAACTATTGGACCTTTGCCATAATGACCTTACTAGCTATTAGTAAAAGATCCTAAATCATAAAGATTATAACTTTCCAAACTATATAACTTAAGGTAGGTAAATAGAAGAATTTTTTGGATGTATGTTTTAAAGGCATTAATTAACATCAAGGAGTAAAATAAGGCTTTTTAAGAATAAGCTTGAATTATTGAGCAATATTAGTTACAGAATTAGCTACAACTTTTTCCCTAGTACACACAAATATTCACATGAATAAATATCCTTGAATTTTACAGTCTTTTTTGGGATCAATGAATATTATTTAATGTCTTTAAAGAATTAATATGAGGCTTTTAAAAATTATTTATTTATTTGAAAGTCAGAATTGCAGAGAGAACAGAGAGATCGTGCATCCACTGGCCCACGCCACAGATAGCCACAACAGCCAGGGCTAAGCCAGGCTGAAACCAGGAGCCAGGAGCTTCATCCAGGTCTCCCACACGTGTAGCAGGGGCCCAGACACCCGGGCCATCCTCCACTGCCTTTTCTAGGTGCATCAGCAGGGAGCTGGATCAGAAGTGGATCAGCTGGCACAGGAATCAGTGCCCATATGGGAGGCCAACCTCACAGGCGATAGCTCCAGTCAGCCATGCCACAGCACCAACCTCTGATAAAAGAGACTTTCAAACTGATAAATAGAAAAAAAACTTAGACATTTTATTTATTTATTTTTGACAGGCGGAGTTAGACAGTGAGAGAGAGAGAGACAGAGAGAAAGGTCTTCCTTCCGCTGGTTCACCCCCTAAATGGCCGCTACGGCTGGCGCGCTGTGCCGATCTGAAGCCAGGAGCCAGGTGCTTCCTCCTGGTCTCCCATGCAGGTGCAGGGCCCAAGCACTGGGACCATACTCCACTACCCTCCCGGGCCACAGCAGAGAGCTGGACTGGAAGAGGAACAACCGGGACAGAATCCGGGGTGCCGGCACCGCAGGCGGAGGACTAGCCTAGTGAGCCACGGCACCAGCCAAACTTAGACATTTTAAATATTTTCTTTAAATAGTTATTTAGTTATTTGAAAGGTAGAGTTACATGGAGAGAAGAGAGGCAAAGAGAGGCCTTCCATCCACTGGCTCACTCCCCAGATGGCCACAATGGCCACAGCTGCATGAGAGTATTTCAAGCATGGAAGGCTGAGACACTATGGCAAAAAATGACCTACATGAAAGATCTCTGTGAGTGAGATCCCAGTGGAAATAAGGGGCCGCCAAAGAGGGAGAAACCCCTCTCTGCAGGGAGGAGAGAACCCCCACCCCAACCATGGCCTGTCTAAATAGTGTTGGAGTTTGTGAACTCAAGTGGCTTCCATAGCCTTTGGCAGCCCACGACAAGAGCCTCAGGTGATCACTTGTGGGGAGCAACCGGACTAGACTGAGTTACTGGAATTAAGACTTATTCTATGCATCTGCTCTCCCACAATATGGCGCTGGGAGAGAAGTAAACAGCTTCCGCACAGCTGCCTCCAGTTCAACCAATAAACTGTAGGACTTGCTCCTGATTGGAGGAGAGCAGCGTACTCGGCGTGTGGGCAGCCGAGTTAGGATTGGCGGAGGAGGACTATAAAGGAGGAGAGAGACGGCATGCACGAGGAACATCTATGGGGAACATCTAAGGGGAACGCCTGTGCAGCCCCCGAGAAGAGCCGGCCGGCGGTGTGCCGCTCCCCTGCGGAAGTGGGGAATGTGGCCAGGGGGAACTGCCCTTCCACGGAGGTGGAAGGGACAGTAGCCAACCCGGGAAGAACCAGCAGCAAACCCGGGGAGGGCCGAGCAGACAGAAAGAACAGCGCAGGGTCCTGTGTCGTTCCTCCACGAAGAGGGGGAGCGACAATCACTGATATCACAAACAAGAGTGTCATTTTTTTTTTAATTTTTATTTAGTAAATATAAATTTTCAAAGTACAGTTAATGGATTGCAATGGCTTCCGCCCCCATATTTCCCTCCCACTCACACCCCTCCCATCTCCCACTCCCTCTCCCATTCCATTCACATCAAGATTCCTTTTCAATTATCTTTATATACAGAAGATCAATTCAGTATATATTAAGTAAAGGTTTCATCAGTTTGCACCCACACAGAAACACAAAGTGTAAAATACTGTTTCAGTATTAGTTATAGCATTACTTCACATTGGACAACACATTAAGGACAGATCCCACATGAGAAGTAAGTACACAGTGACTCCTGTTGTTGACTTAACAATTTGACACTCTTGTTTATGGTGTCAGTAATCTCCCTAGGCTCTAGTCATGAGTTGCCAAGGCTATGGAAGCCTTTTGAGTTCGCCGACTTCGATCTTATTCTGACAGGGTCATAGTCAAAGTGGAAGTTCTCTCCTCCCTTCAGAGAAAGGTACCTCCTTCTTTGATAGCCCTGTTGTTACCACTGAGATCTCACTCGCAGAGATCTTCCATTTAGGTGTTCCTCATCAGCTCTCATTTGTTAAAATATTTGCACAATGGGGAAAACTACACCAAAACTTCTGACCTACTATAACTCATTAATTTTTTACATGAGGAACTGAAAGATGGGAAGAGATTGATCCAAGATCACAAGAGGAGTAAGTAGTAGAATATAAACTTAGAACCAGGATGTTTTCTGGCTTCTGTTTGAACTTCTGTCCCAGCTTCTCTCAGCTCTGTTAGAACATTCATTCATCCACTTATATATTCATCAAACAGAAGCCAAATACCAAAACAAGTAAGATATAGCTACTACTTTCTGGTGTCTAAAAACGGGATGAGATACAGAAACAATAATTGCTGTGCTGGATGCTATGTGTTTTACCAAAGTGATGAACAGTAACAGCTAATATTTATTGTATTCTTATTATCTTCCAGCTGTTATGCTGAATGTTTTGTAAATGTGAACTCACTTGAACTTGGCAATAAGCTTCTGTGTTAGGTATACCTATCTTATAAAAGATGAAACTGAAGTTTAAGCAGGAAGTGAGATGTTAGGTCACGTAGCCCAAGGTCACATAATAAGTAATTATGGGAATACAAAGAGTAGGCACTTTGAGAACACAGAGGAAAGGGCCATTCCTTGTCAAACCAAATTGAAGAAAACTTTGCAGAGACATGTAGCATTTAAGCTGGGGCTAGACATATTAGGAGTAAGAGGAAAATGCATTTAGGTAAAGACTCAGAAGCTTGAAAGAGAATCACCTGTTATGGACAATAAAATGAGTTACTGTGACTGAAGAGAGTAGCAGGTAAGGCCACAAAGGTAGGCTACAGCTTGATTGTGAGAATTGGAATGTCTGGCTTAAAAATTTGAACTTGACTCTGCAAATAAACTGGGGACAATTAAATTTTTGTATGTTAGGAACTAATGCTATCATTTCAGTTGGAATGATCTCTGTGACATCAGTGTTAATATGACCCACAGAAGTGAGAGCCTGGACAGTACAGTGGCAAGCTATTGTCATGGTCTAATATTCAAAATGAGCACTAATAAACTAGACGAATGAGTCACACTGATTTCTGGTGTGTTTCCCATATTCCTTCCAGTTCAACCCTCTGAAGCCATGCAGATCAGATTTAATTCATTTTTTTCTGCATCACAAGCTTTTAGATATTTGAGGAAATGTATCAAACGTCATAATACTCTGAGTCTTAGTCCTTGCCACGGGCAGATTGCGGCCTCAGTGATTCTCAAGAACCCTTCCAGCTGGAACATGATTTTTCTCTCTCTCTAACCTATCAAACTATGTCTATCAGCTGTTTGCTTGAATGATTGGTAAAGATCTGCTGTTCTATTTGGATGCATGTGTTTCTCCAGGAGATGATTGCAAAAAGAGAACCTTTTGAGTATTCTTTGTACCAGGTATTCATTTTCCTCTTCCTTCATTTCAGCATCGGTTTTCAGAGACACTGGAGAAGGCAAAGTGAGGATGCTGGGCATGGAGATCCCCATAAAGGATGTTGAAATGCTGTTTTCTGTTTTGATTGCCGCGGGTTCCATACTCCTGCTTATTGCTCTGGCTCTTGGTGGTGTCGTCTGGTACCAGCATCGGCAGAGAAAGCTGCGACGCAACAGGAGATCTATCCTGGATGACAGCTTCAAACTTCTGTCTCTCAAGCAGTAACAGCTGGAGCCTGGAAATATGCTCAGGATGCACATCTGGAATGCACTCCTAAGGAAGCCATGGACTAGACGCTAGTCCCCCATCAGAGGGATATGGGTGATGATGAAGCAGAGGAGAGAACCAAAATCATCTGGCTATGTCTTCACTTATTTATTTACATGGAAATTATATACTTTCACTTTTTATTTCATTTCTTTGTCCCACTAGGGCACCTGGGAGTGTTTCCTAGCACCCTACATCACAAATTTCAACAGCTAGGTCATGTGACCCCCGCAACACTCAGAAAATCTTCAAATTCTCAGAAACTGATCCTTTTCTAAAAGCAGATACCAAAGGAAAAACTCATTGATTAGCTTTCTGCTGCTCTCCAGAACCTAGGTAAATTCACTTTGAACTGAAGTCAAGTGAGCTGTGAAGATAACCAACAAATAAACTAAGGACCAAGCACATAGGCCTGAAGGGGAAATAGAAGTAAGGTGGGAATTTGGACTCCAAATTGTGTTTTGATTCTCCTTGGCAGTGAACTACTTTGGAGAAGGGAGTGATTGGGTTGTTGCTGCCATGAGTACCCACAAACTCTGGAGCCAGAAGCTCCTCAGTAAACCAGTCCTGCAAGTTCCTACATAATAACACTGAAGGGAGTGTTAAGTGGCCTGTCTGCATTTTAGGCAACAAATACTTTCCATTAAAGTAGTTATTATAAACCAAAAGGCTGAATTTGGTGATTTTGATGGTCCCTGCAGTTTCTGGAGGTGTGAATGACTGCATCACAAAACACTTGGAGTGTAAGAGGTCCTCTTAAGGGTCTGCCTATCTTTGTGGAACCTATAGATTTGTGCTTTGGATGCCATCTCAGAAGTCTCAAAGGGTGCTATCCTAGAAAAGGGGATATCTCATAGGTGGTACATTTTTCTGAATGCCAAGGAGAAAATCCAGATGGAGGTAGAAGGCTGAGACTAGACTCCCACCTATACACTGGGCAAGGAGAGGTGGGTATATATCTGGTGGACCCTTTTATGGCAGTTGGAATATGAGAGCTGTACTTGTCTGGGGGGCCTCTTTACAGGAGAAAGTGATTTCCTCTATAACTGCTGTAGTTTATGGCAATTTTCTTTTGTCATGTGTGAATTTGAGCCTCTGTGAAACCTTGTACAGATGAGTACAGATGAGTACAATAAGGATGAGGTAAGATGGATCACCCTACTACAGAATCCATAATACTGTTCCGCATGGTAAGTGGAAAATTTAAGAGGCATCAGGGAGAGTAAGATGATAACTTAAATGCATAGTGATTTACACTTTACAAAGCATTGTAGTTTTCAATTGAATTTGACTTGTTTCAGTTCTAGTAGGGTGCTATTCTTTTTACATTTGAGTAAACAAACACTCTTGAAGATTAAGTGATTTTATCTAAGCCTATTCACCTAGAAGTTGGGTAGGGATTCAAGTATTCATCTTTGTTACCTTTTCCATCCTCCTATATCTTGGAAACCTTCACTGATCTCCATCTTTCTCACTCCTATTTTTTCCAATTTCCCTGTCTTCACAGCAACCTGTTCATCTTGTTAGCAATCCTTGCAGATCACCTGTGGAAACCCACAGTGCTGGTGTTCATTGGCTATATAAAGTTGAAATATGGATGGGAAACACAGGCAAAAAACCTCTAATTCATCTTAGTTTAATGGTCAGTGGCTTTCTAGATAGCTTTACTGGAAATCTCAGAAATGTAAGAGGGAGTGGAAAGGGTTAGATTGCTTGTTATCCAAGTGTCAGTAGAATATTTAATCAATTGAAGAATCAATGAACCTAGCAGCAGCAGAACACTTTTGGCCTGTATTAATGTGGAGGTTAATGAAAACCAAGTACGTTCTGGAGACTTCAGTTAATTAATGGCTGTAATTTGCATGCATCAGGAGACTGGGAATGGTAAGTAGGATAGGGCATGTTTCGGAGTGTGTAATCCTGCCCCAGGTCAAGGAATGGAAGCTTAGAGCCTGTGTATTTCAGAAAGAGATCTATTTTTGTGGTGTGTTTGCTCCAAGTAGGAACATAAGGAATTACTTTTGATAGTTAAGTGATACTACCATCTATTCAATTGCTCATGCCGGAAATTCTCAGCATCAACAGTCAATGAATCTCTTTTGTCTCCAAGATATCTTTAATTAATTCATTTGTTTGCCATCTCCTTTTCAACCACTCCAGTTTAAAACACAACCAGCGGTTATCTGATTTACTCTAGTAGTAATGTTCTGCTTACTTTCCTCACATCCCTATATTCACCTTCAATAGATTCTACATAATCAATTGCAAGGGGCTACCAAAGTGATGCTTTCAAAATATAAATTAAACTTCTAATTCAGACAAGATGTAATAGACTTTTTATTTACTTATTTGAGGGTAGAGTTACAGATAGAGAGGGAAAGACAGAGAGAGAGGTTTTCCATCCTCTGGATCACTACCCAAATGACCACAACTGCCAGAGCTGAAATGATCTGAAGCCAGGAGCCAGGAGCTTCTTCTGGGTCTCCCAAGTGGGTGCAGGGGCCCAAGGACTTGGAACATCTTCCATTGCTTTCCCGGGCCGTTAGCAGAGAGCTGGATCAGAATGGAGTAGCTGGGACTCGAACCAGCGCCCATAAGGGATGTCACACTGCAGGCAGAGGCTTAACCTACTATACCACAGCACTGGCCCCCTAAAGATTTGTCTCTTTCTAAAGATTAATAAACCTCGGGAATAATTAATGATGCAACAATACAACAGAACTTCAAAAAGTTTGTGGAAAAATATTTTAAAAATAAGTTTGTTTTGATATAATTTTTAAAAATGCATAATTTGTTCATATTGCACATTTCCCATGAAAATTTCTATGTAAGCAGTTTCTCTTTTTCTTTTCTTTTAAATGTTTTATTAAAAGTTTAAGAGACATACAAAATTCTGCATATTTAGAGGGTACTATGTGATGTTACATGTATACATTGTGTAATGTCCGGAGTAAATATATTTATCCTTTTAAACATTAAACTTTCCTTTATAGTGAAACCACCCATAATGATATTTCCAGTTTTTTAAATAAAAAATACACAGTACATTAACATTGTTTATAGTCATGCTACTGTGGGAGAGTATGCCAGAATTTTCTACTGCTATCTAGTTATGACACAGTACTCATCAATCAACCTTTCCCCATCCGTCAATCCCCATTTTCCTCTCCAACCTCTTGTAACCATATTGTATTTTTAACTTCTGTGAGATGATCTATTTTTCAGACTTCATAAAAGAATGAGATTGGGGACGGCGCCGTGGCTCACTTGGTTAATCCTCCGCCTTGCCGCTTCGGCATCCCATATGGGTGCCGGGTTCTAGTCCCGGTTGCTCCTCTTCCAGTCCAGCTGTCAGCTGTGGCCTGGGAAAGCAGTGGAGGATGGCCCAGGTGCTTGGGTCCCTGCACCCACATGGGAGACCAGGAAGAAGACCTTTGCTCCTGGCTTCGGATCGGCGCAGCGCTGGCCATAGCAGCCATTTGAAGAGTGAACCAACAGAAGGAAGACTTTTCTGTCTCTCTCTCTCTCACTGTCTATAACTCTACCTGTCAAATAAAAAAAAAAAAGAGTGAGATCATGTCATATTTGACTTTCTGTGCTTGGATTATTTCACTTAAAGTCATAATGAAGTAAATCCTTTTTACAGTTAAAAAATCATGACTTCCAGTTCCATCAGTCTTGTTGCAAATAATATTTCACTTTTACATGGTTGAACAATATTTGTTGTGTATATATACCACATTTTCTTTATCCATTCAGCAGGATGGCTAATTAGGTTGTTTCCATTTCTTGGCTATTGTGATTAGTGTTACAATAAACATGGATTTAATTTCCCATGGGTATATGACAGTAGTGGGATTCCTGGATATTATGGCAGTTCTTTTTTTTTTTTTTTTTTTGAAACTCCACACTCTTTCCCAAAATAGCTGTACTAATTTACATTCCCAACGACCATTTTTATTGTTCTATTTTCTTCACATCCTCACCAATACCTGTTATCTTTTGTCTTTTTGATAATAGGCTAGCTGACTGATGTGAGGTGGTATCTCATTGTGGTTTTGCTATTCATTTCCCTGATGATTAGTGATATTGAATATTTTTTTCAGGTACCTCTTGGCCATTTTCATGTCTTCCTTTAAAGAAATGTCTGTTTATGGGGTCGGCCTACAATGCCAGCACTGCATATAGGCACTGGCTTGGGTCCTGGCTGCTCCACTTCTGATCCAGCTCCCTTCTAATGTGCCTGACTGTCGCTCCCCGTCTTCGTGGAGGAACGACACAGGACCCTGCGCTGTTCTTTTGTCTGCTCGGCCCTCCCCGGGTTTGCTGCTGGTTCTTTCCGGGTTGGCTACCGACCCTTCCACCTCCGTGGAAGGGCGGTTCCCCCTAGCCACTTTCCCCACTTCTGCGGGGGAGCGGCACACCACCGGCCAGCTCGCTGGGGGGCTGCACAGGTGTTCCTTCAGATAGATGTTCCTGGTGCATGGTGTCTCTCTCCTCCTTTGTAGTCCTCTTCCACCAATCCCAACTCTGCTACCCACACGCTGAGTACGCTGCTCTCCTCCAATCAGGAGCAGGTCCTGCTGTTTATTGGTTGAACTGGAGGCAGCTGTGTAGAAGCTGTTTCCTCCTCTCCCAGCGCCATATTGTGGGAGAGCAGATGCATAGAATAAGTCTTAATTCCAGTAACAGTATAGTCCGAGTTGCTCCCCACACCTGACAAGGCAGTGGAAAATGGCCCAAATCTTTGGGTCTCTGCACCCACATTGGAGATTTGGAGGCCCAAGTCCTTGGGCTCCTGCACCCACATTGGAGACTTGGAAGAAGCTCCTGGATCCTGGCTTCAGATCAGCCCAACTCCAGCTGTTGTGGCCATTTTGGGAGTGAACCAACAGATGGAAGATCTCTTTCTCTGTCTCCCCTCTCTGCCTTTCAAATAAATAAATAAATAAATCTTTTTTTAGAAAAAGAGAAATGTATGTTTAGATCTACTGTTTCTTTTATTGGATATTTATTTATTTATTTATTTGCTATTTACCTGAGTTCCTTAATATTCTGGATGTTACCCCTTATCAGATGTGTATCTTGCAAATATTTTCTTCCATTTTCCAGGTTGCCATTTCACTCTGTTGATTTTTTTCCTTTTAAGTGCGTAAGTTATTTGGTTTGACAAAATCCCATTTATTCAGTTTTGCTTTTATTCTCTATGCTTTTGGGGTCTGATCCAGAAAATCCTTGAAATTTCAATGCCCTGAATTTTCAAGACTTATATTTAGGTACTTAACACATTTTGAGTTGATTTTTGTGTGTGGAAAAAGATTAAGAACTAGTTTCATTATTCTACATTGGATATCCAATTTTCTCAGCACTGTTGCTTAAAAAGATTATCATTTTCCAATACCTGTTCTTAGCACCTTGTATAAGATCAGTTGGCTATAGATTTGCTTTCTTTAAAAATACTTATTTTATTTTATTTGTAAAACAGAGTTACAGAGAGAGGTTGAGACAGAGAGAGAGGTCTTCCATCCTCTGGCTCACTCCCCAGATGGCTGCAATGGCTGGAGCTATGCTGATCCGAAGCCAGGAGCCAGGAGCTTCTTCCAGGTCTCCCATGCAGGTGCAGGGGCCCAAGGACTTGGGCAATCTTCTACTGCTTTCCCAGGTCATTAGCAGAGAGCTGGATCAGAAGAGGAGCAGCTGGGACTAGAACTGGTGCCCATATGGGATGCTGGCGCTTCAGGCCAGGCCTTTAACCCACTGCGCCACAGCGCCAGGCCCTAGATTTGCTGTTTTTTGTTTTTTTTTTTTTTTTTTTTTTTTTTTGTTTTTTTGTTTTTTTTTTTTTTTGGACAGGCAGAGTGGACAGTGAGAGAGAGAAAGGTCTTCCTTTGCCATTGGTTCACCCTCCAATGGCCGCCGCAGCCTGCGCGCTGATCCAATGGCAGGAGCCAGGTACTTATTCTGGTCTCCCATGGGGTGCAGGGCCCAAGGACTTGGGCCATCCTCCACTGCACTCCCTGGCCACAGCAGAGAGCTGGCCTGGAAGAGGGGCAACTGGGACAGAATCCAGTGCCCTGACCGGGACTAGAACCCGGTGTGCCGGCGCCGCAAGGCGGAGGATTAGCCTAGTGAGCCGCGGCGCCGGCCTGGCTTTGCTTTTAAGGTCTCTATTCTATTCCATTGATCTATGGATTTTTTTAAAAAATATCATACTGTTTTAATTATTATAGATTTCTAATATATTTTTAAACTTTTAAAATATTTATTTATTTATTTGAAAGGCAGAATTACAGAGGGAAATATAGAGAGTGTTTGATTTTGCATCCACTGCTTTAAGCAAATGGCCACAATGGCTGGAACTAGGCCAGGCTAAAGCCAGTAGCCAGGAACTTCTTCCAGGCCTCCCACTTGGATGCAGGAGCCCAAGAACTTAGGCCATTTTCTGCTGCTTTCTTAGGCACATTAGCAGGAAGCTGGGTCAAAAGCGGAGCAGTCAGGACATAAATCAGTGCCTGTAGGAGATGCTGGCTGTCGCTCCCCGTCTTCGTGGAGGAACGACACAGGACCCTGCGCTGTTCTTTTGTCTGCTCGGCCCTCCCCGGGTTTGCTGCTGGTTCTTCCTGGGTTGGCTACCGACCCTTCCACCTCCGTGGAAGGGCGGTTCCCCCTACCCACTTTCCCTACTTCCGCGGGGGAGCGGCACACCGCTGGCCGGCTCTCTCGGGGGCTGCACAGGTGTTCCTTCAGATAGATGTTCCCTGGTGCATGTTGTCTCTCTCCTCCTTTATAGTCCTCTTCCGCCAATCCCAACTCGGCTGCCCACACGCCGAGTACACTGCTCTCCTCCAATCAGGAGCAGGATCAGCTCCTGGAGGTCATCACTCAAGTTGGCAAGAGGCAGCTGTGTAAAAGCTGTTTCCTCCTCTCCCAGCGCCATATTGTGGGAGAGCAGATGCATAGAATAAGTCTTAATTCCAGTAACTTAGTCTAGTCCGAGTTGCTCCCCACACTGGCATTGCAGGTTATGGTTTAATCCACTACACCACAATGCCAGTCTCTAATATATTTTTAAAAAGATTTATTATTTATTTGAAAGTCAGAGTTACACAGATAGAGGAGGAGAGGCAGAGAGAGAGAGAGAGGTCTTCCATCCGCTGGCTCAATCCCCAGTTGGCCTTAATGTCGGGCTGATCCGAAGCCAGGAGCCAGGAACTTCTTCCAGGTCTCCCACGTGGGTGTAGGGGCCCAAGGGCTTGGACCATCTTCTACTGCTTCCCCAGGCCATAGCAGAGAGCTGGATTGGAAGTGGAGCAGCCAAGACTCCAATCAGTGCCCACAGGGCATGCCGGTGCCACAGCCTGACTCCCCTTTAATATATTTTAAAGTTGGCTCCTGCTTTGTTTTTTTTTTGGTCAAGATTGCTTTTGGTATCCAGGGTCTTTTGTGGTTCCATACAAATTTTACTAGCGTTTTTTTTTCTAGTTCTGTGAAAGATGTTATTGCAATTTCGATAAGGATTATATTGAATCTGTAAATCGCTTTGGGTACATATGCACATTTTAAGAATATTGATTCTTCCTATCCATGAACACAGGATGTTTTCCATTTCTTTGTATCCTCTTCCATTTTAATCCATGATTTATAGTTTTCATTTTGTAGATCTTTTGCTTCTTTGGTTAAATTTATTTCCATTAAATTTATTCATGTTGAATTTTATCAAATGACTTTTCTGCACCTATTGAGATAATCATATGATTTTTGTCCTTCATTTTGTTTATGTGTAGTATCACATTTAATGATTTGCATATGTGAAACAATCCTTGCATCTTTGGGATGAATCCCACTTGATCATTGTGAATAATCTTTTTAATGCGTTGTTGGATTCAATTTACTAGTATTTTGTTGAAGATTTCTGCATATATGTTCATCAGGTTGCGTTCATGGCTTGCTTTCTTCTTCTCTCCCTCTCTCTTTCTTTTTTTAGTGTCTTTGTCTAGTTTTGGTATCAAGCTAATGCTGGTCTCCTAAAATTAATTTGAAAAAAGTCTTTC